AAAGTAGACGTGCTTGATCATAGACGTGGTCCATAAAAATGGACCATGGAAATTACTCGGGATCTTTAGCATTGATTTAGTCTCCCATCCAGCTTGATAATCCAGACTTTGGAGACTTGCTCGGCGAGGCGGGAGTATATGTGCCATCAAAGGCTCGATGCATAGTGTGGGAAATGACTATCATGTAGCAAAGATAGGTTGGCAGAGGTTAAGCGGAATAGGTGGATTACAGAGATAGGAGACGTTGTCTTCCTTTACGTGGCAAGGGCGAGACTGATAGGATTTATTGGAAGATGATTGCGAAATAATATGGCCGACTCAGATCAACATTATCAGCACAAGGGTGTTAAGATGTGTCAGAAATGCAGTGTGGGATATTAAGAGGTTTCATTAAATCCGCTCAAAAGGTCACACCATACCACATTTAAATAAACAAATAAGACATTTTGATAGTGAAGGGGTTATACAAAGATATAGGATAGGTGAATAGTTCAGGACAGGAGATATACAACAATTCTTTAGCAGACAATTTATCAAAGTATTAGCTTCACTTGTCTCTGACGACTTATTGTGGGAAGCTAAGAATGACAAGACTCTCTGACGATGTCTGTGAAATGTCTGGGAATGTAACACGTCCATGGTCAGACTGGAAATTATCGTGCGTACCATGGACTTCCGACTAAGTGCGTTCGTCTAGGTATCTCTGCCATAACGACCAAATTGCGCCAACAAGGCCAAACAACTTCTATACAACGAAAGGAGACTGCGACCATACAAAAATCCTCGCTATTTTGGTCTTCATTCCTTCGAGTATTTATAAAGGTTAGCTATAACTAATACTGTTAATAGTCTCGAACTTCATCTTAGCCTACATTAAAATACAATAATTCCTAATTAATCCTTCGCATTAGGTTAGAATGAGTTTCCCTTTTCCAATGAATTCAATTATCTCTGAATTATTTTGCATTATAAATTAAGAATGCTAAAATTTTATTCTTTGTTTAGACCTGTCTTAGCTGCCTGGATCTGCTTCGTAAATCAAGTCTCGGGCCACTTGGACCATTGCCAAATGACCTGATTGAGCGTCATCGTGCGGCATTTGCTAGACTTTTCCCATTAGCAGCTGTCTTCCTTACTCCGACAGAACTTGATGCGCACTTAGTTGAGTCGGTGAGATCTGCTGCTGCCTCATCTCTCGTAGGTATGTTTCTTCCCGCTGATAAGTTGTGTCATTCGCAACAACTGGAGTTTGAAATTGACGCCGAGACGAGCTGTTCCACCTCCGCACCCGATTCTAGTGGCTTAGTAAATGATATAAACTCCCATACTTCAGAGGATATCAAGGGAACAGTTGATGTCGGTTTGACTGGTCTCATTAATTTCTTGCATGACCGTCTCAGAATCTCGGAAGCTGCAATTGTCAATGGAATAGATCAAAACACGCTTCATAATT